AGAAAGAAAATAATAGGGCCTTATTCATAGGGTTGAAGTGAGGAAGAAACAGGACACCCTGCATATGGAAAACAGAAAGAAGTGTTTCATATATGTCTGCTGTTGTTCTTACAAAATGCCAGTGGCTCTTCACCATTCCTTGGTCAGAGGCCCCATATGGTGGCACACACCTGTGGTCTCAACTACTTGAGAGGCCTAGGAAGGAGGCGAGCTTCAGCCTAGGAGTTCAAGAAGATGCTGGGCAACACAGCAAGATCCCCATCTCAAAAAAAAAAAGAAAGAAAAAGAAAAATCTAGAAACTAAACACACAAAACATTGGGATCCTCCCCCTAGAAAAATGTAATATGCACAGTCACATGACAAGTTGTCAATAATTTCAGGGCGTGCATAGAGCCTCTAAAATGCAAAGACCACCAAGTTAACTGCAAACTCTAGCTAAGATATCCAAAGAGTCCCAGCATCAAAACCAGAACCAGGTATCTCTTGATCCAGCGCTGTTCTTCCTCAACCCAGTCATGTTTCCTAATTCATAAGCTAAAATTATATTTAAAGCACCCCTCAGCCCAGAACATTTTACACAATGTTTCCTTTGTAAACCCTCTTAGGACAATGTTTTTGGTTAAAGTAGCAAGAGGGGGAGTTAAAAATACAAAGAAATAGAAACACACATACCTGGGCCACTATAATCAAATCTATAAAAAAAAATAACTGTACTTCTCATTTACAAATAGTAAGGTTAGCACATGCTACTCGTGTAGGCCTAAGTTTAAGACCTGTGTTTAGGAGGTATAAAACTTAATCCCAGGCTTTAAAACTCCACCTTAGTTGATTTAGGCAAAGATCATCATACGTCAAACTGTAAAAAGGCTGATAAAGAACATTACAGAATAACATACAGGTCACCCCACATGAACCCATGGATCAACCAGGCTTCCCAAAGTGCCGCGGCAAAAAGGACACACAACAGTCCAGAAAACGACCTAGACTTTAGTGCTTACTTCCATTCGACTGCACATATGAGGAGAGAAACAAGTTAAATGCAATCACAAGGAGGCAAACAGAATGTGGGGGCATTCTAGAACCCAGCAGAGGTGTCTTTAACCGAGAAGGGCACGAAGTCGGGGAGAAGGCAGTGTGCTCTAGACTAAAACTGACTTAAGGGCGGCCCCCGTAGCTTAGTGGTTACGGCGCTGGGCACATACACCGAGGCTGGTGTGTTTGAACCTGGCCTGGGACAGCTAAAACAACAATGACAACTGAAACAACAAAATAGCTGGGCATTGTGGCGGGCACCTGTAGTCTCAGCTCCTTGGGAGGCTGAGGCAAAAGAATCGATTAAGCTCAAGAGTTGGAGGTTGCTGTGAGCTGTGATGTCACAGCACTCTACCTAGGACAACAGCTTGAAATTCTGTCTCCAAAAAAAAAAAACCCAACTTAAGAATTATCACAGCAAAGTGCAACATGTGAGCCTTGTTTGGATCCTACTTCAAACAAACATTTTGTAAACAATCAAGAATACCTGTGGCTCAATGGATAGTGCACCGGCCCCATATACAGAGGGTGGCAAGTTCAAACCCGGCACCTGCCAGCTAAAACAGCAGTGGCTACTGCAACAAAAATAGCCGGGCGTTGTGGTGGGCACCTATAGTCCCAGCTACTCGGGAGACTGAGGCAAGAGAATGGCTTAGCACAAGAGTTGGAGTTTGCTGTGAGCTGTTGACACCACAGCACTCTACCGAGGGCAACAGAGTAAGACTCTATCTCAAAAAAAAATCAAGACTATCTGAACGTGGACCCAGTATTAAGTGACACCAAATACTATTTGCTAGTGGAGACACTAGCATGGTGGATATGTAAAAAATTACCCACTAGTCTTATGCACACTGAAATATGCTGGAATAAAATGCCATCAGATCTAGGATCTGCTTCCAACTACTTCAGCATTAGCAGCAGCAGCAACAACAACCAAAATGAATGAATGAAGTGAACCAACCACCCAATCAACTACTGGATCTGGATGTGGGTCGTGGGCGAGGGGTACATAGATTCCTTACGCTGTGCTCTACTTCCGAGCATGTTTAAAAATGTCCACGATTAAAATATAAAAAACAAAGCTCTTGCTTTTGAAGACTTTTAAGAGATAAAACGGAAGCAAAACTGTCTCTTCCCCTTGACTTACTCATTCATGAGAATATGTTCTTGATGAAATCTCAGCAATTGGAAAGAACCCAAAAGGGCATCTAGTTCAGGAATTCCGGCTTCAAGCCAGAAAAACCTAATAAAGCCCATCAGAACTACCAATTTCCCCCACCCTACGTCAGACCTATTGTATCCGATTCTTCCAGGAGGGGGCACAGAAATGGTAATTGCTTTTAAGTGCCACGGGTGATTGTGATGCAATCTGATGCTTCCCTTTCCTAAGTCCCAGCCCAACAGTCCTGCAGGATATGCGTCCCAGGCCCTCAGGGACAGGGGAGCATTTCACATTCTCACTGCCATGTCAGGCTTAATGGTATTCTTCTCTCTCGCTGAGGAAACAAAAAAGTGGACTGGCTAACTCAGTGCATACAACTTGCAAGGCCTCCATTCTCACCAGGTGCATTCAGTCATTGTATCAAGGCCAACCTCAGAGAGGGAGCTACCGCCAAGTAAAATTCCCTGGGAAAAGAACAAGTTTACCTGCAGAGCCAAAGGGGCTTTCCCTGGGCAGAGTATCAGAGGAAATGCTTTCCTTTTACTCAGCCACAGTAAAAAACCCCAAGTGACTGGGCTAGGGCTGGTAGGGTGAAGGGTAGGATCTGGAGGGTACCTAGAGGTCTATGCTTCCCACTGCAGCCACCAGTTGGCCCCAGGGTGACCCAAGGAAAGAGGGGAAAAAGGAAAATCTCAGCACCCTCTGCCTTTGCTCTAACGGCATCATAAACGCTGGGAACAAACTCTCAACCACAAAACTGACTGGCATTCGATCAGAAACATGTCAGTACAGGCCAAGATGGTTGGGAAGCCAGAATTCAACACTGCATAAGGCTAACAACCTCAAATCCTGAAAAACCATTCCCTTTCAATAGGCGCTATCTGTGTTTATCCAGACTGACACCCTCACCCCTAGAAAACAAGACTTCCAGAAGCCAGCGGTAGGGGGGTCCTAGAGGGTAGTACAGTTTACCTAGTGGGCCTTGCACACAGACCCAACACCCACCTGTCACCCCCTCCCTCGGATGACTGGTGAATAATCCTCCTAAGTCTTGCTGAACCCTTTGGAATTGGTCTTGTAAAATATTTCACAACGTACATTTCCTAAATTACTTTTGTATGCTGTAGCACTACGTCAAACACAAGAGACTCAGGCACTCGGCAACTTGCAGACTCCATTCACACCAAACTAAACGCCCTGTTTGGAGAAAGGGTAGTGCAGAGACAACAGAGAGCTTCAATATCACAGAACTCCCTCTTTCTAATTAAAAGTGGCACACTCTGATTGTTACAGCTATACAAAAGGAAGGACTTGGGGAAGGAGAGGCCCAGAAACTTATGAATATTCACGTTTGCACACTTGATCCAGACATCATCTGCACCAGTGATCAAAGTAAAGCTCCTCAGTGCCCACATCTTTCCTTTTCCCAGGCAACACCCCTCCCCAAACCCTGCATCTCCGCCCCTTCTCTTGCACATAAATTCTGGGTGAACCAGCATTTACAGATAAACATGTCTAGTGTGAGAAGGAGAAATATGGCTGTACCACTTCCTTATGCATATTCTTCTGTGCTAAAGATAAGTAGAATATTCTCAGGATCAAGATTCAACTGAAACAAAAACATGTTTCTTGTGAGAAAGAAATTAAAGGCTACAACCCTGCACAGCCGCTGACCTCACACAATGGTGGTTCTGCGCCCGAACCTGAACTTCAAAAAGAGTTTTAAAACAGAACGCCAGCTGCACACAGCAGCATTATTAATGCAAAAAACAAAGCTGGGAAATACAGGCACAGGAAAACTTGGTGGAGGGAACTTTTCTCTGGCAATTTTAATTTCGACAGCACTACTTTTCAGAGCTCAGGGTCAGATCACAATTCTGTTTTCCACTGTCTTCTTTTTTTTTTTTTTTTTTTTTTGCAGTTTTTTGGCCGGGGCTGAGTTTGAACCTGCCACCCTAGGCATATGGGGCCAGCGCCCTATTCCTTGAGCCACACGTGCTGCCCTGTTTTCCACTTCTAACAGTAGACCCTATTCTGCTGCACTGATCACAGTGCCTTCTTGCTCAAGAAAGGTAAAGCAATTTATTAAAACTGGGTCCTTTTAGTCAATCTTGAAGTGCAAACTAAGGCTTTAAAGTCAAAATTCAGTCTCCAATGGCAGTGTTACCCTGAGCCAACTTTTTATATTCATGGAGTTCCAAAGTTGTCAAACACTTTATACACACACACACACTAGATTCATGAACGTCACCTGGGCAACTCATGTCTATTTGATCTTGGAGTTAGTTAAGTGTGTTCAGGTCCTTCCCAATGGCCATGGTGTCCATTCATTCAACAACACGGAGAAGTTGCCTTCTTCCAAGTTAACAGAAAGAAAAGAAATGCCATTTTCCTCTGGTCCTTGGTGGTGATTTTCCTCAAATGCACACCACACCCACACACATACACACACCCCTCTCGCAGCTAATGGCTGCCCGTGGAATATGGATCATTGTTTAAACTCTAAAGCCAAAGTGGTCCACTCCCATTGAGAGATGACAGATACTGAGACCCAATCAAGTCTCCAAACCAGGGCTATTGATCATGAGACTACTACAGTGGGAAATTCTCAAATAGTATGAACACTAAAAATAGTACATGACTAATATGCTTAGGAAAAGGGAGTTCTTTACAATTACCTAAATGAATTAAACAAAATAAAACCCATTTACAACTGCTACTTCAGTAAAGAAAACAGAAATTCATTTTTTAATGGAGAAAAATTAAAAAGTAAACCAAACTTGAGTTCCAGACACAGAGGCTTACCTGACTCCTCTCTTTGTCCACTTTCTTAAAACACTTATTCAGTGACAAATTATGTCTCACTGAGTTTTTCCACCCAGTAGGTGCATTTGCAAAATACGGAAAATGTCCCAAGATCCAGTTGTAGATATCCTTTACTGGCAGACGCTTGCTTGGAGAGTCTTCGATGGCCATAAATATGAGGCAGCTAAAGGAGTATGGGGGTTTGCAGTTGGGGTTCTGCCTGGCATCATAGGGCATGTCAGAGTGGGCAGGTGATGGGGGGGTGTCATCGTCCAGGTCCTGGACAGGGCTGACACTCCTGAGGACAGACTCCCCGAAGCTCTTCAGCAAGTTCTTGCTCTCGTGCAGCCAGTTCAGGTTGGTCAGCTCTTCATCTTCCATGGCCCCCTCTTCTAATTTGATGTCGGGCAAAGAAAAGTCGAGGTCATCGTCTTCCTGAAGGGCCTTGGAGAAGCTGCTGCCTCGGTAACACTGACTCAGTCCACTGGAGACACTGATTCCTGAGCTTTCTGGCTTCTTACTGGGAGGCATGACTGGACCCATTTACGTGAAGGCTCCTAGTGAAGATACCACAAAAAAATGATGAGCTGGCGAACCCCAAAGCAGAAAGGCAGCTTGGGCCCCCTTAATTCTCTTGCCTCCCCCTGCCACCTCCAGAGACCCCCTGCTACGGAGGACTGACTACTACCAGGTGATTCCCACACTAAGCAACACAAACCCGTAATTCCAACACATAGAGACATACTAAGGAGAAAAATGAGTCCACTATTCCTGTAGCAAGGTGACCTAATGCCCTTTAAATAGAAGGAGACTGAAAATATTTACAGCACCTTTAATGCAAATACATCATTAAAAGAATGGGAAACTTCACAATGCCTCTATGAAGACTCTCACTGTGACCCTAGGAAAATCAATTGTTTTTTGGTGCCTCGGTTTCTCTATAATATACGAATACACACGTAAAATTCTTTCAAGCTACATGATTAACAGTATGAAATAAGCACAAATCAGTACTCGTGTCGCACCATGTTATCAATCTCATTGTTTATCCTTCTTAAAAAAAAAAAATACCTATATGTTTACGGCCGATTGTTTCAGATTACATTCAGCTGTTTCCATATGAAGACCATCATGATGGCCTCAGTGTGACTTGGCCACAATGAGCACCATCAAGTTGGTTATTTTTGTGGCTTTTCTTTCCCCACAAAAATCATGACCCCAAATTGTGTAACTTTAATGACATTTGGCCATTCTAAAGAACAATGATAAGGAATCCTGTGGATTCGAACTGGAGAAAGAAGTACATTAAATTTGATTGTGACACAACTACATACAGAGAGGAAAAAAAGCAAGTAACTTCAGACAGTACATGAATAAACGGGAATGTAAGATAAGCCATTCACTGGAATCAGCATTGGTGAAAAGTCAAGCCAGCTTCAAGACAGGACAACTTCAAGAAAAACTGCCACAAAATTCTGTCCCTCCCTTCCCTACCATCTCCATTTTTATCCATGACCTAGAACAGAGAGTAAAATAATATCTGATAAGAAGAGGAATTGTCAAGTCCACAAACAGAATGACCCCTACAGATCAAAACACATTTCACTCCCTAGCACGCAATAGAAAGAACAGTACAGATCATGAAAAAGGTCTCCCACTCTCCATTTGCAGAGCTAAAACAATGGTTGGTTTGGCTTGGTTTAAGAGTGTCTAGTTTTAACCCCCACCTCACCCCCCTGTAAAAAGACCAAGGAGAAAAATGAACACACACATCAAAAGTAAAAAATGTGATCTAAGTCTCTTAATATCCATCACCCTACATCTGAAACATCTGCCACTGCGCTGCAACTGGGGAAGGTCTAGAATAGGGTTCTAGAAAGTATAATGCAGGGTGCCAAATGGCCAGCCAAGGGTGTCAGTAGACTGCAACACTTTCCCCCTTCCAAAAGGTAAGAAATAGAAACTGCTGGACACAAGGTTGAGATGCCCAGCCCTAAAGAGAGAAAACCTGCATGGGGCATCACAGACCAACCCAAGCAGGGCAGTCTTGATGCCTCAAGTTCACCCAGAGGGAATATTTCTTTCTGTCCAATAAGGAAACAACCATGAGTAGTACAGGACACATTTTCAAGAAAAATATAAGCTAGGGTCTTAAAAGTTTCAACCTATGGGGAGGGTAAGGGACAGTTTGTTTTTGCATGTCCCTGACCACCCCCCATTGGTGTGCAACTGTTAAGTGTGAGGACAGGACTGAGTACAGACTGATACTGCTTTTAACTTCTTTAGGAACACATCAAAGCTAGGCTTATCTCTAAAAGTTTCCTCAGATCCCATCAGAAAATTTTGACTTACTAGTGTATCCACACAGTAAAATACAAAAGAGAACTACACAGCCACTGAAGTCAACTTTAGCTCCAAATGAAAGTTTTATGTCTCCTGAGCTTCCAAACAGGAAAATTATATCATGGCTGACAGTAAAGTAATTTAATTGCACTGTTGCTATGACAACATGCTGCTCTCTTTCTTTTTAATTTGCTTATTTGTCAGTAGCTTCCCAAAGGAGCTAACACGCTATTCTCCATGTTTTCTTTTGTTTTAAACAAACACTGCCAGCAATATGGTTTTATCAGACAAATGGCATTGTCAAGAAAAGAGGGTCACGGGGGTTCAGTACCCCGACTCCTACGTCTGCTGTGCCTGGTCCCCGCTCTCCAGCTAACCGCATCCCTACAAATCCCGCATTTTATGGCAACGTATGAAGAGCCGCTGATCGCTGCAGTTCCATTTAAAAAAACAGTTCCCAGAAACCACAGCTGAGGAGTTTCCCATTATTATACTCTAACTACAGAACTCGCCAAATCTTTTTTTTTTCCTCCTGTTTTGGGGGGTGGGGGTTAGAATCTGGATCATGTGAGTCTACAGTTAAGCAAACATTTTTAATCTGCTGCCAACAAGGTTGCTCCACCAGATACGCAAATAGTTATTCACTGGTGACCTCCTTACAACTTTTCGGTTTGTTACTGGTTACGTTCACTACACACACACCCTTTTTTTGTTTTTTTTATGACTTGCTGTGGTTTTTTTTTTTTTTTTAACGGAGAAAATGCAGCAGGAAAGCTTGGTTTCTTGCCTAGTATCAGAAGGTCTCCAAATAACTGACAAAGACTTTACTGGCCCAGCTCTAAACAGATGTTCCATGTGAACTTTCAAAAGTTGAGAAATCCTCCCCAAGCCGAGCAAGGCAGACGATTCTGGGGGGCCGGGCAACCCCCCTTCAGACACGCGCGCGCGCGCACGCACGCGCTCCACTCCAGACTACTGTACTTGTCAAAAACATTTCAAGGGGACCTGCGGAAGAGCCGATTGGCTGCACCCCGCGTCAATCAGCGGTGTTGCCAAGCAACGGGGAAACTGCTCTTCTCCGCGCATACAGGGCAATTGGGAGCTCGCATACCTTCACTGCCGGTCAGATGTCATAAACCTTTTATTGGCCGCAACGCAGAGAGCCTTAAAAACAAATCAATAAAAGCCCGCCGTCTCCCAACTTGTCCAGGGCCCAAGGAAGATTTCAAAGAGGGCCGGGGCAAGGAGGGGTCGGGCCTCGGGGGTCTCCGGAGACGTTCACTGCCGGTGCCAAGTCTGCACAGTTTGGGGGTGGGGGGAGATCTTTGTTAGGAGCCTGTTTCTCATCTTGGGGTCTCACTAGATCGGCACCCGTCCCTCGTCCCGAAACCGCCGAGATCCCGTCCTCCGCAGACAATACCAACTCTGTTCCTCCCGGGCGTCTTTTCGGAAATCGAGGCACCGGGGGACAGCCCGCACGTCGGGGCAGGAAACTCTCGGACCGGGCAACTTCCCCACTCCGGGACTCTGGCTCCCCCCGCTCCAGACCCTCCCCCCAGGAACTGCGGAGCCCCTCGTCTTGGGGGAGCTGCGAGGTCGCCCGCAGGACCGCCTCGGAACAGTCCCCCGCCCTGAGTCGCCCCCGGCGCACTCGGGAGCTGGCGGGCGCGGGAAGCGAACTCACCTGGCCGGAGCTGGGCGCGGGGGCGCGGGGGCGCCGCTGCCCTTCAG